TTTTTTTTTTTTTTTTTTTTTTTTTTTTTTTTTTTTATTATCAAATTAAAGTGTTTCATCGGCCCTGGTATATTTAGTATATCCTCAAATGTTAGAGATGGCAATAAGAGCGTTTCATATAGGCATATATATATAAATAAATAAATATATATATAAATGAATAAATGTATTAAAATATCTTTATGATTGTGGGCCGAATATGAAAGAAGCATATAAATGAAATGTTTGTAATAATATTGTGTTTACTTTTGTTGTTATTGTTATATTAAACGCTTCTCTAAATTTATGTATGTTAGGTAAATTTGCTCATTCGCATGATCCTAAACTATTTTCTAAAGCTAGTCATCTCTTTCTAAGCATACTGATGCGGCAATGTAGTGATCTTCTTCCGGAACATTTACACTAAACCGTGAAATTCTCTCTTACCCAATGGAAAATATATTCTCAACGATTATTTATTAAAGCAAAAAAGTAAAACCATAATAAAAAAAAAATAAAAAAAAAAAAAATAAAAATAAAAAAAATGAAAAAAAAGCATTTGCAGTTAAGCTGCAAGAGCATGCAGCTTTAATATAAATGTATACGTGTATACGTGTATACGTGTTAGATGTTGATGAAAATTTTTTCAAAAATTTCAAATCGACGGAAAATTCTTTAACAGAACGTGCTGTTTCTTGCTTGATCGTTAGTCTGTTTAGTCGAACCGCAGCATTCGCTCCATAGACGTCAGCTGCTCGGACAACAGTAGAGAGTTTAATTTATTTCTTTTCCCGAAGTAAGTTTCAAATTAATTCAGCTAAACTGTAAAGACAAAAAAATAAAAAAATAAAAAAAATATAGAAATCTAAACAAAAAAAAAAAAAAAAAAAAAAAACAGTGTACTTAAATAATCCTTAAATGAATTTATATTAAGAGAAAAAGAAATAAAAAAGAAAAATTCATTTAAAGTTAATGACAATCTGTCATAAAAAAGAGAAGAAAAATTTCGAAAAAACGAAAACAAAAAGAAAAAAAAAAAAAAGAAGAAACAAATGCAAACAGGAAGTTATATAACAATAACAACTGCTTCTGAAATTTATGAAAAACCATTTAAATCAGGGATAATTTACAGCAGACCGTGTAACGGAAGTAAAAATTGATTTAGTAAAAGCGAAATATATTTGCATATGTATATGTATATGTACATGTATATATGCACATATATATAAATAATAAAGATTATAAAAATATAAAATAATGAACGCATTTCAAACCGAACATCATACAGCATTGCGGTAGAAAATATATTTTTAAAATTTCACTAAAAATAGCTGCTTGATGAGCTGACTACTGGCTTAGTGTGTTACATGATATATATACATATTATAAATATATATATATATATATATATATATATATATATATATATACAAATATATATATATTTATGTATTAGCTAAATGCTTAATAAATGTATGTGTGTATGTATTTGTGTATGTGTACATACATTTATACCGAACTGATTACCTTAAAATGAAAAAAGTAAAAAAAAATAATAAAAAAAAAAAAAATTTATATATATACATATATATGTACGTAGATGTAAAAGATTTAAGAAAACATTTAGACGCGCGTTAACTGAGAAAAAATTTCTTTTATAAAAATAAATTCAATTTAAACACGGTGGCCGTCATTCGCACTTTCCTTGGCAAGCATATACACGAATTGTTGAGAATTTACCGAAATAAAGTAAAATTGCGTAAAAGTGTGAATGTGCGCGTGCATGTTGCGCGCTTGGTTGTGTGTATATATTTATATATATAAATATATATGTGTGTGTGTATGCGTGCGTGCATGTGTGTACGCTCATTTGAAAAAAACGCTAACTTATTGACATATGCGTATGTATGTATGTGCTAGTCGATAGTGTACTACGATCGGCTCTCATGCAAATAATCGCCAGGAAAAAGCCATACAACGAGAAAGGATTGTTGATAAGTTATGTGTGAAGTGAAACGATATTGTACCTTTATCAAATGCATGATAATGGAATCGAAAAGGACTTTTTGAATGTCAAATTAAAATCAATGGAATTGTTAATGCAATTTATATATGAAATATGTATGATGTTAACGAAAGAAGCTAATGTACATCATATATACATTTACTCCTACATCTAGTTAATGGAATTTATCTAGTATTAGTTGCGTGCATATATATATACATATATACATACATACATACATACATACATACATACACACATATATATCAATTCAAAATTCATGAAATCAACAAACTTATACATATATCTCATATGCATACGCATACGTATGGGAAAAGTCCACTAGATGTGTACATACACATGCACACATATGTTTATATGTAAAACACCTGCATATCTTCCTCCGATATGTGTTCTTTAATGGCCTAATATTTTAGTCAACTAATAGTAATAATAATAAATAATTTATCATAATATTTAGTAATATCGAATAGGTAACAAATACACACATATACACATATACATACACATACACACACACGTAATATATATTTTTTTGTTTTTCATTTAGTGGGTGATGTTGTTTCTTTCTTTGCTTTCATTTCATTTTATCGCATACGTGCTCTTAGTATGAGTGCCAAGGTAAAACGAGCTTTTTTGTTTTTTTTTTGTTTTTTACAACAACTGTTTCTCTCCTATTAAGAATTTCTCTCACGGAAATTCAATACTTTTTCTATTTATAACATCAACATCGTGCATACAACATACATAGGCATTATTGATATGTTTGCGACATATACTACTCGTCGATGTTCGATGCTTACTCTTCGTGAGCAACACATCCCTTTTTCGGTTTTCGGCATTCGGTTCTACAATGTAGAGATGTAGATAATATATATATATATATATATATTATTTTTATTTTTTATTTTTTTTTTTTGATTTGAATTCGAGAGCAAGAAGTATATTAACATAAGAAAAAGGAAAACTTTGATTATGACAGCAGCGCAGACAAGATCTTATAAATAGTTTTACGTATTCACGTACAAATACACAGATATTTTTACTTATTTTCTCTTTTTCTGTATATATGTGCGTAGATGAATTTCTCGGTATATAATATCAAATATTATTATTATTATTATTATTATTATTATTATTATTGTTGTTGTTGTTGTTGTAGGTGTTCTTAAGTTCTTTCAATTTTCTATTCAACTTGCAACTTGCCTGCATCTCCTATCTATACTATATATCCATCTATATCTATATATTGAATCATACATTAAAGCATTTGTTTGCATAAGTACATATGTACTTTTAAAACATACACACATCTCCCTATATGATACATAGCTTACGCATGTACTGCAGTTATTTTTAGGTCAGACACAATTCGTAATTCGTTGTTGTGTTTTTTGAAAGAAAGAACAAAAAAAAAAAAATTCAATTTTATTTTTACGCTTTCTTTTCTCAAAACTCAATGAAATCGCTTTGTTTACTTAAGAACCGATACATAGAATGAGAAACGAAAAGATAAAAAAACCTCAATTTTAGGATAACCTTTGGTAGTAAACGATTTCATCAATAACATGAAATTATCTTTGCGGTACAAGAATAATAAAATTTTTAAACTCGAAACTATTCTCATCGATTATTAAAAATTTTTGCAATTTTTGCGATAGGTTTTCATGAGCGCTTTTTCATTTCACAACAGAGAGATATCTTATATTCTTATATTCCGTATACATGCGATATATGTGTGCATATATATATATGCGGCCGACCTGTTGCGCTCGACTTGTTGCTTGCTTGTTGCTTGCCTGCTGAGTATCAAAAAAATTAAAAGGGTTTTCTCTTCAATATCAGATCATTTAAATAGCATTGAACCTAAGAAGGTTTTTCTAAATGTTCATTAATACCAAATGTCAGTCCATGCCATTTGTATTATTGCAACAATATGAAGAGAATAAATGAATTTCGATCTCCTATGAAAGTCTGCGATACGATGATTCAATGAATAAAGGCGCGATGCACTTACTATATTAATTTCATAAATTGTGCTTTCGTAGTAGTAGTGTACTGAAATATTCATTCCTATCCCATAAAAAAGGCAAAAGTATATAAATTTGTCGGCTTCCATTCCATTTAGGAAATCATGTTGACTTCATTGGAACAATAAAGAGCTAACTCTATACGAAGTTGTTCTAGAAATTGCGTATATTCGTACACTTCCTCATCATAGGTCCTGCATGCAAAACACTTTACGATATTGTAATTGTAAAATATGCTCGAGCCAATCTCTATGTTTTGCAATTTCTCGGTGAAAGGCACGAAAGGATCATATATGATTTTAACTATGTAAAGTCTATCCACTCTCTAATCCATTTTTATTTCTATTCCTCTTTGGGGAAATTTTTAAGAAAATCTGCATCAATTATGAGATAAGTTTAGAATTTCACTTTCTTTCTAAGTTTAATGCCATCATATTGAGTTTAGTGTATTGAAATTTTGAATTTCCAAAAAAATTTGTTTTTTGACAAATCGTTTGCTTTAAGTGTAATAAAAGCAGTCTAACGCTTTTCTAATATCTCAAGGTTGATGTATCTTTTGAGATTATAGCTTATAAAGTGCGGAGACTGAGGCAAGCAATTTGTACTTTGATTTAAAAAAATAGTGTCCATATTTAGGGAGTTAATTCCCTGTTGCAACTTCACCTTTCAAACATAGTTGGGCCGAGCCGACCATTAGAAATCCTACACCGCATTGCCTAGTGCAGCTATTTCCTTGTTTTGGTAATAATGTGCCAAGAATGCCACATCATATGTATGTTTCATGAAAGCCCGCATAGTGGTCCGCATACAATTGCGAAAACATAACATGACTTGAACCACATTTACCTAACTTTATTTACATCCCTAGAGTTTTGTTATCCTTCAGGTTCCCTTGTAGAAAACTAGGAATTAAGCTTTCGCTTAGGCTTCATACAAGCGCTTAGCTTTCATAATGACTCCTATGTACGTTGAGTCCAAAAATTATATATACGTGATCTCAATCCGTTAAGATTGATCTCTTAGTCAATTTACAATTATGAACGAATTGTAAAAAATTACACTTTTTTACCATATAAAGATTCAGGTTTCGTAGGAACGGCTGAAGCAACTTTTCCCGCAAATTTAAGACGTCGGAGTATTATGGTTCAGCGAATTTAGTTGAAAAGTTTTGAAAATTGTAATTTTTCCCCATATAACGCGACTTTTCAAAATTGAATGTTATATGGGTAGAGGGGTCGGAAAAGTGAAACGATTCGAACCATTTTTAATACCGTTCGTCCTTGGAGTCACGGTACGCCAATGTATCAAAGTTGAATATAAAGACGCATGCACAGATATTAGACGGACAGATGGGCAGATAAACTTTTGATCGAATAAGAAAATGATTCTGAATTGACGGAAGGGTCAGTCTTAAGCCCTCTTTGACGTTACGTAAGTCCATTCAAACTTAATATAACCGCAAACCTATATAGTATAAGCAAGTGATTGCAACTCAGGACTCAATGACGAATCTGGCTTTAAGACTTGGCTTCGAAGTCATGTAAATCTGAATTTTTGGTGTAACATCATCACCAATCGATCTTAATATGCCCGAAATTATAATATTTTCCGTTTGCTTTAGATGACGAGTTTTCTTAGTTATATAGACGTAAATCTATTTTATAAATGGACGATGGTTTTTCTTGCCAAGCGGCTCTCACTTGAAGTCGTCACTCTATCATACTGTGCTACGTTTGCTTTTTTTTATGCAAAACCTTAAGTTTCTAAATATGATAACAAGGAACCCATTATTTAGACCATTGCCCATCACAATGCTAAAAATTTTTCGCAACTTTCTGGCAATGCATGGCTTTTCCCAAGAGAAGAATTTCGCATGGTTTGAGATAAGCGGAAAAATGGAATATTTTTTCCTTGTCTCGACCGAGGTAAACTTTTTTTTTTTCCGGTTCCTTTCCTTTTATAGTTTTGTCGTTAAATGCAGTTCCTATGTATATAGTTTATCGTTGATTAATTCGCTTGGTTCGCGAAATTTGCAATACATTGCACCGAATGCATAGCGATATTGCATATAGGCATGAAATTTCGGTTACGCTCTTTATCTTACCTGGGTTTATAGTGTATGGGTGGATTTAAATCATTTAAGCTTACGGTTATTGTAATCCTAGAATGCATATGAGATTAGCAGTTGTAGCATAAGGCAAAAGACTTCTTCTCGGATACCTTTAAGGAATCGTTTGTAAAATAAGGGAAACAATTTTCCCCTTTTCATGCCTGGCCATGCAATTCGCTTCTCTCCCTTTCACACTTGCCTTTTTTTTTGCAATTATCTCCGTTGTCTTTAATGGCCTCGAAACGCTTGAATTAGTCATCGGTTAAAGTTTCTATCATTCCTTTAAAGTTTTTCCATGAATTTCACCTCAAGATTTATTGCAAAACTTTTTCGATTAACTGAAAAGTGCGCTCTTCTTAACCTCAAAGTTAACATTTTTAATTTAACCGAGCCAATGCCGATAGCTTAGCTCAAATATAATACTTTTCTTGTAAGCTGGCGTTAATGTCCTCGTTAGTGAGGCAATGAAATACCTTTCGTGGCATTGACACGAGATTTTCTGGCTCTGCCTATATGTTGACGTAAGTTCGAACGAATTGTGAAATAAACGGATATATGAGATGAAGTGAAATGAATGTAAAGTGTTACGAAAGGCATTAATTTACGAACTTATTTGGTGACAAATGTTCAATCTAATGCTAATAGTTTGTAATCGACTTACAACTTATATTTTATAATATGTTTTATGTGTTTTGCTTCTTTTTTATACCCATCACTGATAAATTGATGTACCGAACAGAGATACCGTAAACCATACATATATGATTTTGAACATCATAAAATTGTAAGCGTGTCTGCTCGTCCGTCCGTCCATCTGAGTGTCTGTCTACTTTTCTCTGCACTTATCGGCTTGAAATTTGACATAAAGACTGAAAGTTAGATTGGAGAGCAGCTCGGTTATCTGGGCGTAGACTGTCCCACGACAGCAACACACGATAAAATGCAATAAATTTCTTCGTATATACCACCAGTCACTCCCAACTAATGCTGTACAATATGTAAATATAGTTTTTTTTACTTATTTTCTTGGTGATGATGGTGATGATAAAAATATTCGCAAAATCCTATTTTTTCTATTCGCTTCGATTATATATATTAACTTGAATTTTCTTTTACAATTATAATTGCAGGTTAATTTAATCCCCAACCATAACCATGTCCGATGATGAGGAGTACACGTAAGTATTCGTTGAGAAACATTAAAACAATATTAATATTGAACAACAAATGCAGCCAAACAAGTTTTCACAAACACACGTTTACACTTTATCCTGTGTATATATATTTATATATATGTATATATAGATATGAAATACCTATAAGTATGTATTATATGTACTTGTAAATGTCAATGGATTATAAGTATTTCGAAATAGAAAAATGCATATATTTTTGCCTTTGTTTTTTTTATTATTTTTTTTTTTTTTTCGTAACAGAGGGTTTTTCGAAAATCTTGTTTGGATAATGTTTTCTCCTTATGTTATATATATATATATATATATTTTATGTAATAATTATGAAATAAAATTTATATAAATTTCATGTGATTTTCTTTTCATATACGAATGAATATTTACTGTGTCTTTTGTAATAATTAAATCAAATCAACCCAACACTTGATCACCTATATTTATATCCCAAAAAAACAAAAAAAAAAAAAAAACAAAAACCAATGAGCTATGATTAATTGCTATCTTACACTGAACACTGAATCTATAAACGTACCCTGTCTAATGTTCACAAAACCATCTCATATACATTGTTGTGTGTGTGTGTGTGTTTCTCTACTGAAGTTCTGAAGAGGAGGAGGAGGTTGTCGAGGAAACCAAAGAGTAAGTATTGTTTTTTTCAAATCTCTCCTTTCTTTTTGTTTACGTTTTTCCCCCTATTTCAATTCTTACATTAATTCATTTGAAATGATGCTCAGCGTTTTCGCGCGCGCATAGAACGCGAATGTTGTCACAAAATGAGCTGATATTTTTTATTCATTGCTTTTTTCAATAAAAGATCTCAAGCATTTTGCTCGAATTTCTTCTTTTAGATTTTCATAAATGTTGCGTAACGTTTTTAAGTTTCAAATTCAAAATAAATTTCGATAAATAAGTCTGATATTAATTGTAATCGGGAGACGATGTGCATCCTTGAGTCAAATCTGAAGTTTAAAGTTAAGCTTTTCAATTATTTCACATGGCATCTCCAAGCGACTAATAACACTGTGACGGCTTACGGCCCACCAGTATAAGTACTCTACACCAATCTAAAATTATTCGTGTAACGTGCTCCGCTTCGAATCGTTTTTCATTTTATTAAAATACCTCAAAGTTTGTGAGCTTGTGTGATTGGACGGACGGTTTGAATCGATTCAGAACTTGTCTATCCCAATCTGAGTCCATCTCAAATCCTTCTGAGTATTGCGTACGTTCGCACAAACTTAATAATACCCTTATACTACATGGTGGTGTAGCGTGTACAAGTATATGACCTGCTTATCATAATTTATGTTTACCTATATACCTGCATTTGCATTTATAAAAATCACGATTTTTATACGTGACTGACTGAGAGTCATATTGTGATATGATTCGTTATAAAAATGCATGATATGATTAGGATTAAAAAGGTTACATTTTTTTGCTGTCACGTTTGATTTTTTAATTAAAACTAAAAATATCGGCTCATTTTCATATATTTAATTATGATAAAATAACATAACATAATATATATATATATATACATATATATGTGTTATATTATTTTTTATTTTGGGTGAATATCAAAATTTCCTTATCTTACATTCTTTCTTGCACTCACATTTATGTGTGTGTATGAATTTAATGATTAAAATCAATAACAATCAATTGGCTCATATATATCATATTAATCCTTCCTGTCTTGTGATCAGCAATAGTTTCCTTTATCCTATTGTTTATGTCACTTGTGTAAAATTTATTGATTGTTGATTGTTATTTTCTTCTTTCTTTCTCTCTCTCTTTCCTTTTTTTTATTTAATTTCAGGAAGTAAGTAATATGTATATGAACCAAAAACAACAAATCAATTTAAACGAAAAAAAAAATATATATATATATAAATAAATAATATAAAAAAATAAAATAAAAAAAAAAAAAATTAAAAAATAATATTTTAAATTTAAAAAAAAAAAAAAAAAAAAAAAAACATGAAAAGCATATCTAAGCAAAATTGCAATATTATTATAAGTTTTAAAACGTACAATATATCTGTCAGAGGCCGAGTTCCTTCAGACGAGTAAGAAATTTCAAAACCCTTCTAAAGGCGTATCTTAATTGTTATCTTGGCACCCTATTGCCCACCATTTAAAAGTCATGTTATAATAAATTTAGCTGATGCTAAGCCCTTGGCATGGCTTAAACTGTAATGTGAATTTTCGGTTTCGGTTTCGGTTTCGGTTTCGGTTTCGGTTTCGGTTTCGGTTTTTAAAAGACATAGGTATGTTTTTTTTTTTGGTCTCTTGAAACTTGTTTAAAGTATAGGTGGGTTTCCATTAAGAGTTAATACTCGTTCTCGTACTCGGTTGCATTTCCCTTTGTCCAATAATCACGGAGATCTTCAGAGATCCTCAGGTTAGCTGATAATCGAAAAATTCTGTTTCCAACTAATGCATCTCAACAAGTACCGAAGAGTAAAGGGCGGTGGTGACCGCTTTATTCATTGACATTGTAGCCACGATGTAAAGCTTCAAGCGCGTATAATGCTTTCTTTTTTCTTTCGAATTGCATTTGAATGATGCTTTTGGAGGAAACTCCTTTAAATTTTTAGTCGATGATCTCGCGATGAAAATCATTGTTTTTCTTTTTATTTTAATAGAAACCATCGTA